TTCAGTGTAATAAAGGACATGACAACATAAAGCGTCACAGGTTGGGTTTATCAGACAAACCCACAATATTTTCCTAGTGTGGTCCTACTGCAGCATTGCACATCTTGTTAATTATGGAATTAAAATAGTTTAAAGATAGATGATCTATTTCAGCTTCATAGGCATGAACTTTCAGCCTGACCTACAGGCCTATATTAGCTTTAAGGAAGCCAAGGTCCTTCTGCATATGTTTGGATGTATTTAGACGTATGTCCAAATTGAGTTTTTATGGAAATAGCTAGGAAGGGTTCCCTAACACACAATCAGGTAGTCATTTATTTGCATTAGAAATAGGAGTTTAGGAGTCCCAGTCAGGTCCTCAGTATTTGTAGAGCAAGGAGAGCTGATACCCAGGAAAGTGTTTATAGCTCAGGGTCTGTCTGGAAAATGGAAGTTCAAGGATATGATTTAACAGCAGCTTTCCATTCCTATCCACACTTCATGCAAAGGTAGTCTTCCCACAAGTTCTACTTTGGCACAAATGGAAGGGAAAGGTACAACAAGTTGTGTCTGCTGCTGCCTTTCCCTGCCCGGATAGGAGGAGCAGTAGGGAATGGTGCTGGTACAGCTACAGCAGGAAGTGTTTCCATTGTCTGTAGCCTGGGTCAGTACCAGGCTGGTGGCGAGCAGATCTGAGCCATGCTGGGGAAAAAGACTTTGCTTCTAACCCTGTATGTTGTTGCCCATCTTGCAGGAATTGCTAGTATTAGTTATGAAGTCAGTGCTTGCAAAGTCGCCTTTACATATCCCTGACCTGAGGTAAACTCAATCACGGCATTAACGCATAAATACTACTGTAGCTGACTCCAGATAGCTGCGAATGTAGCTGCTATGGAGGGAGAACCAGGGGTGTAACTGGATCTGCAGAGCTGCGAGGCTGCTGCAGTCCTTGGCAGGACTTCAGGGAAGGTCCATGGTTGCTGTGGATGGGTGTGAAACATGGCAATGCAGGGAAGACACTGATGTCCAGCACCCTGTCCTTGGGTCCCGTGCAGCTTAATAGCTTCTTTGGGGTCTGACTGGGAATTGTTCCTACTTGCAGGTGTTTTGGCAGGTAGAATAATGTCTTGAATCTACATCTTCCTAAGGAGCCTTACCAAGTGAGATGCTTATTAACTGCCCAAAGCAGCTCGCAAACTAATCCAAAAATAGCACAGTGCCTGGTTACTCTGTCACTTTGCTGCAGATCTGATTAGGATAGAGCAGGGTTGGGGTCTGACTGGGAATTGTTCCTACTTGCAGGTGTTTTGGCAGGTAGAATAATGTCTTGAATCTACATCTTCCTAAGGAGCCTTACCAAGTGAGATGCTTATTAACTGCCCAAAGCAGCTCGCAAACTAATCCAAAAATAGCACAGTGCCTGGTTACTCTGTCACTTTGCTGCAGATCTGATTAGGATAGAGCAGGGCCTAAATTTTGCCACATGAGCAAGTCTTTGAATGCCAACATGAAATCTACTTGGGGTTTTGTTTGGTGTTTGTTTTTAATGAAGCTTATGTGTTGTTTCTAAAGTAGAATTTCTTTGATATACTTGGGGTAGTTTAATTTCTTTAAATATGATTTTTTTTTTCATTATTTTTATGGGATCATAATAGTTCTATTCACAAGAAACATCTGGTTGTTCAGCTTATTTCTTACTCTGCTATTGATAAGGTATCCAGCTGTTCATCCTCTCTAGCCTTGCCTTAGTGTGTGAGCAAGTGCATGGATTCACAGCGAAGTCAGATGTTCTGACTTGAAACCACATTGCAACTCGTCCTGGCAGACTGGCAGTGGTACAGCTATTTTCACATGCTGCATATGGATTTCCAGTATTTTCACACTCAAGTTCTATTTTATTGTGGGTATGTTATTAAGCTCTTACTAAAAATCAAAACAAAACCTAAAAATTGATGCTCAACATCTGCAGGAGTAATGAAAGCAGCTGCCTTTTCTTGCTGTGATGTAAAACTACAGTGAAAATGCTGTGTATGAAGCAAGTTTTTCTGTGAGACTTTACATGTGTGAGGTCTCTGGAGGTACAGTAGCAACCATGAAGAAGAGCTGAAGGGCAGTGAGAGGAGGCAAGAGTGATGAGAAGAACAGACTGCACTGATACTTCCCAGCTTGTACCCTAAGTGAAAGCTGTGTCTCGTGTTTGCATATCAGTGTTAAAGACAGACTTTTTTAGAGGTTCCTCTAAGCAAAATGTGCTTCCTCTTGGGAGGAGAGAGAGGAATTCCTTGCAAGTTAATAGGGTATTGTGAGTGATGAATTAACACTGCTTCAGGTTCAGGAGGTGTATTGATTCAGGTAATGTCCTGTAAATATACAGGGAGCTTTAGGGTGGCAGCAGTTGGGGAGAAAATAGTCCATATCTTTACCCAGGTGACAAAAAGATGAAGTTTTAAAACTTGCAGCGGAACAGCCTCTTAAGGTTGGTGCCAGGCTGATGTGCTGCCTTGGCCTGGGTGTAGCCTGGCTGTTCCTGAGGCCAGGAGGTGAGGCTTGCCAGGAGCCTCCTGGAACACTTCTGCTGTGTTTATTGTTTGTAACACAGTTGTTTCAGGGGTAGGTGGAATTTTAATCTGTCTTCAGAAGGGAGAACTGCTGTTAAATTCAGTGGTGTCATTGGAAAAGAACAAAAAAATCCATTAGCATGTGATAAAATGTCTTGTATGTATTTCTCGGTTATATCTTATGAATAGTCCCTTGTGCACACAGTGGGATTTTCTGCCGGTCACCAGATGACACAAACATTGTCGCAATAGGGATAATAGGAGGGAGGGCCGTGAAGAAGGGGGCTGGAGCAGCTCTGCTCTGGAGCCAGGCTGAGAGAGCTGGGCTGGGTCAGCCTGGAGAAAAGAAGGCTCCTGAAGGGGACACCTTAGAGCAGCTTCCAGTGCCTGAAGGAGCCAACAAGAAACCTGGAGAGGGGCTTTGAACAAGGGCCTGTAGGGACAAGACAAGGTGGAATGGCTTTAACCTGCCAGAGAGGAGATTGAGATGAGCTCTGAGGCAGAAGCTCTTCCCTGTGAGGGTGCTGAGGTGCTGGCACAGGGTGCCCAGAGAAGCTGTGGCTGGCCCATCCCCGGCAGGGTTCAAGGCCACGTTGTCAACACCGTCCGAGTGGAAGGTGTCCCTGCCCGTGGCAGGGGGTTGGAACGGGATGAGCTTTAAGGTCCTTTCCAACCTAAACCAGTTTGTGATTCTATGATAATATTTCTAGCATATTGCTGAGGCAAAGTGGTCTGTGTAGTCCTGGGGGAGAAATGCTTCTGTAGATGAGGGTGAATTTTTCCAGAGGTCAATTTTGCAGCAGGGAGTCCTTAAGCTGCTTAGAGTGACATAACCTGGAATTTGAGTTCTGAAGAGGTGAATCTTACTGTATGGGCACATTTTGCTGTGAGCTGTAAACAGCTGCTCTTTGTTTGTAGTAAAAATCTGTATCACTGGTTTAGGTCGCTAATTTTCTGCTTGTTTAGTGTTCAGCTCTCTCCGAGCCTGCTGTCTTAGCTGTAATATTTGTGCCTTGGCACATACCTGTAAGCTCATCTATGCCATGTGTATCCACTGAGATGTGGAGCTCGGGTTCTGTGTTCCAACAAGCCCTTCTTTCTCCCTGGTGCTCCTTGTATTCCTATGGCAACACTGCATCTCACTGGGCTCTGAGGGGTTGGCTTGGATACAGGGAATAGATGATGCAGAACACTTACGTGTCAAAAAGGGGAAGAAATGACCACAAGTTGCTCTTGCATGGCAGTGCTCTGTGTAGCTGTCCAGCCTTTTGTTACCATTTTCTCCCAGTGAATTTTCAGATGGCCTGATTTGGTTTGTTAGGGTTTTTTATACTTAGAGTATAAACTGTCCCTTCCTTGAGGTGTTTTGGGGTGTTGTGTGGTAGGGCTGAGTATGATGAGAATTTAATGCTGGTGTGAAAAAGATGGTGGAAGTAGTAGGGGAGAACAGAGAGGAAGATGAGGCTGGGACATGAAGTGGGAGGGGGCAGCAGTGGCTGTGTATGGAGCATATCTTGTTTCTGTGGCTTATTTAAGGCACTGACTGTTGAACAGGTAAAGTCTATTTATGAAATAGTGGCTTTATCTTGAAATACTACTGAAAATAGAGGAAAGGATGTCTAAACTTGGGACAGATTCTGAGATGTAGCTCTGCTCTCATTAGAGAATGAGTCAGGTATCCTTCTTGTTTACCTTGGCAAGCTGTCATAGAACTACAGAGTGTGGTATTGTGTAATTCCGTGAGCTTGTATTTAGAGATCATGTGGGCCACTGGTGGGACAGCATTATTGCTGCTTAGTTGGAATACCTGCTTGCTTAATTGTTCTACATATCTATTCTTGTCTAGAAAACATTAATGACTGAGGTAATGCTGAGTGCCAAGCTTGGGAACAGATGTTTTGGGTTGGAATTTTAGTCAACTCTGGTGTTTCTACTCAAAACAAACTCCTGGTTCTATGTTAGTTGCAATTACTTTTAAAATAGAACTAAAGGGTATCTGGGGAAACCATTCAGCCTCCCTCTGGCTCTCAGATAGGTTTAGCTATACCGAGGTCATCTCTGGTGGCTTTCTTGAGTTACGAGGTAGGTAGATTTCTGGTGACAGAGATGCTACAGCCTCTATGGAAGTCTTGTTTTGGTCTTTCAACTGTCCAGACATGTGTTACACTTATTGAGTATTTAATCTGAGTTGCCACTGCTGTGGTCTGAGATCTTGTTAATTGTAATATTTACAATAAGCTGTATTTTATGAAGATTTTATTCTTTTGTGTTTTCAACTATCTTTTCAATGGGTTGACCACATGTTTTTTACAGTGGTGTCCTATGACCTGTGCAGTTAAACCATGATTCTGATAGTACAGTTAAAGTATTTCTGTGTTTTGTCTCATATTCTAGATTTAGCATAGAACTTCCAAAATTGTAAATTTTAATTAATTTATTTATTTTTTTAACCTTGGCAAACAGGTTGAATCCTTTATTTTGGACCAAGAAGATCTTGATAACCCAGTACTTAAAACCACGTCGGAGTTATTCTTATCGAGCGCTGCAGAAGGGGCGGACTTGAGAACTGTGGATCCAGAAACACAAGCAAGACTAGAAGCCTTGCTGGAGGCAGCAGGTACTTTGTTTGTGTACTTTTTCCTGAACACAACTTACACACAGATCTGCAATGTGTACATTTTGACCCCACTGACATATTCACAAGTCTGGATGTTCTCCATGACCATGGAAAACAAGCTTAATTCTTACAAGTGTTGAAGGTTGCTTGGTGTACTCTTCCTATGCATATGAAGTCAGAAAAGTTAATTTGAATTAAATGATATTTCACTGACCAGATGAGATTGTACATGTTACCAGAGAGAGGATTAAAGTGGAGAGAATGGAAGGAATTATACTTGCTAAAATTACTTTTTTGTTTTTTGGGGTTTTTTGTTTGTTTTTTTTTTTTTTTTCTCTGCTGCTTTGGTCAATATATAATTATTGATTAATTTCTCCAGAAATTTGCAGGTGAAGTATTTGCTTCTCTGTTTTAACTTTCGCAAAAATATTTTTCCATCCTGTAGTTCTGGGATATGACTGTTGGAAAATACATATTTAATGTTTTAGAACTAGACTAGATGAACCACATGAGTGCTACTTCTGTAATGAAAGCTTGACTAATTCACGTCTTGGTAAGGTTTGTGACTTGGGTATTCATGATGGATTTGAAAATTTTTTGTTAGCTTCAAAATTCCAAGGATAAAAAGGTATAAGAACCCTGTTTTGAAACAAATCCTGTTTGATCATGATGGGTACATACTCAGACAAGTAGTAATGTGCTGAAACTGGAGTTTTCAGACTTCAGCTTTGAGCACAGAAGAGCTAGATGAAATAGTGTTTATTTGCAGGTGTTTAGTGTAAAGCTATATACAGTCTTAAAGGAGAGTTTCATCCTGAGGAAGCAGGATGCAAGGGACTGTGGGATTGTCTCTGCATTTTGAATTTGTAAAACCTCTGCAACTTAGAACATAGGATAGCTTTTGTCAGCAAAATGATGCAGCAGCCTAATGAAAGGTGGTCCTTTAAAATGATTCTAACCTGATGTAACTTATGGGGGACCAAACTTTGCTTTGCAGGGAATAGAGACAATTTCTGAGATGCTCCAGACACTAACAGAATGTGAATAATTTGATCCCTTTTTAAGCACTTTTAAAAATGAAAATCAGTTTGATTGACTCATGCACCTGATGACTGGTGTGTCCTGAAACCTATTGTTAGCTTGATAAATGGTCAGTGGAGATGTCTGACAGTTAGTGTTATGAGGGCAGTCTCTAGACATGCTTACATTGAGGGTTGCAATGTTTGATATGATTTCTTGGTATTTAACAAATCTAGGAGGTACCATTGCTGCTTGTGATGTCTGTGAGAATGTTTTCTGTAGACTTATAGAATCATAGAATAGTTAGGGTGAAAAAGACCTTAAAAATCCTCGAGTCCCACCCCCCCTGCCATGAGCAGGGACACCACACACTAAACTATGTCACCCAAGGCTCTGTCCAGCCTGGCCTTGAACGCTTCCAGGGTTGGAGCATTCACAATTTCCTTGGGCAACCTGTTCCAGTGCCTCAGCACCCTCACTGTGAAGAACTTCTTCCTTATATCTAACCTAAAGTTCCCCTGTTTAAGTTTCAAGTCATTACCCCTTGTCCTACCACTACAGTCCTTAATGAAGAGTCCCTCCTCAGCATCCCTGTAGGCCCCCTTCAGATATTGGAAGGCTGCTATGAGGTCCCCATGCAGCCTTCTCTTCTCCAGGCTGAACAGCCCCAACTTTCTCAGCCTGTCTTCATAAGGGAGGTGCTCCAGTCCTCTTATCATCCCCGTGGCCCTCCTCTGGACTTGCTCCAACAGCTCCATGTCCTTTTTATGTTGAGGACACCAGAACTGTACACAATACTCCAAGTGAGGTCTCACAAGAGCAGAGTAGAGGGGCAGGATCGCCTCCTTTGACCTGCTGGTCACGCTTCTTTTGATACAGCCCAGGATACGGTTGGCTTTCTGGGCTGCAAGCGCACACTGCCTGCTCAGGTCGAGTTTCTCATCAATCACCACTCCCAAGTCCTTCTCCACAGGGCTGCTCTGAAGCAGTAGATGTCCCCTTGTCCCCAGAGTTAGATGATTTGTTTTTAATCTGGGGTTTCCATGCTTTGATACCCCGAGTGCTTGGAGCAGGGATATAGAAAAAGGGCAGAATAGAAGGAATCTTGAAAGAAGAGCAAATAAATACAAAGAAAGTGCTTTTGTTTGGGGGCTTCATCTTCCTCTCTAAAAAGACTGGATAAAATGAATGACACTTGTTGAATGTGTGAGACCAAAAGACCAAAAACAGTCATGAAAAACTCTTTAAGAGTTAAGCAGTACTTTCCCACTGTGAATTTGAACACTAAAAATATCAACAGGCTTAGCTAACAAAGACACTGAGAATCTGGTAGTTTATTAATAAAAGCCATAATCTGAAAGTGATTGCAAAAGTAAAAGCATTTTTGGGAGGTGGTGTGTCTTCACTGGGTTTCTCTGGCTTGTTTGACTGAAAATACCACTTCCAATCTAAAGTGGGCTTTGGGGTTTCCATCATGACATCGAAGTTGCCTCATGTTGGAACTTTGTATTGTTTGGCAGTTTGGCAAAAGCAAGGGATTTCTCCTGTTAGTCACATTTTGGTCCATAGTATTAGGAATAGCTTGCAAAAGTAGATGGCAGAGCTATTGCTCAAACAAGTAGTTGAGCTACAGCCTTGTCTGATGTGGTTTCCAGGGCAGCTCGGCCTTCGTTGTGATGATCCCCTCTGCTGTGGGAGGCTTGATCCCAACAACCTAGAGCAAAATCAGTCTTGCTTTTAGTGTCTCAGATTTCTCAGGGTTTCTCACATACAGGGTTCGTGGCTGTGTCATGAGGATCTTAATGAGTATGACTTGCAAAACTAGTTTTGCTCATTCTTCATGAATCCTTTAATGCTCAGCTCTTGCACGGCCATGCTGTTTATTAATTCTGGAAGGTAAGTGCTAGCAACTGCAGCCAGGTGGGATGTTGTTCTTCAAATTGCTTATGCAGAAGTGGTTTTCAACCATTGCAGTCTTTCAAATTTGTGGGAGTTTGTTTTGGTTTTATGTAGCTGTCTTGATTTGAGAGCTAGTTAGGCCTGCATATGTAAGTGGTAGAGGCCAGAGGCTACATGAATAGCTTAAAAATCTTTCTATACATTATATTTACCCATCAGAAGAGTGCTGGATATTTTTTCACAGTTCAGCTTGTTTATTCTGTTTCCAAGAGAACTTAAAATATTTTGTGGGTTAGGATGCTAAGGGTGACAGCCTTAAGTAGACTATCTAGCAAGAGGGTTGTGCCTTGCCCACTGTAACATAGCTGCAAGTACACACCTACGTACATGTGCGCACAAACAGGGGTTACACACTCCCTACATTTACTAGGTCCACTGAAAGTCTGGCTGGTTAGCTTTAGTTTGGACAATGACACTTACTTCTGTAATGTGTTTATGCAAAGCACAAGCACTTTGTAAATGAACGATTATCTTTAAACAACTGTCAGTGATTGTATTATTTCACAAGAAAAAGTAGTTTTACTTTCTGAACATTGAGAGACTTCATTCACGATTCTGTGAACGTCATAAATAGGAGCTGTTCTTGTCTTCAGAAACTGAAGATTAATTAATCGAATCCTGTTCTTTGGTAAATTATCCTAAATAAACCAAGTCTTTTGAATACCTTCTTTCAGTTTGACTCCTAGTAACAAGGAGGGATTTATAGGTAAAATGGCCTGTGGAAAGGCAACCATATTGTTGGGAGATGCAATGAAACAGATTCTTAGTGTTCTGAGAGGGGATACATGTTCTGTACTAGACACATCCAATTCCACTGTTAATTAGGGTACTGTTAATATCTTAAAATAATATGCCAGCTATGAAGAATACTGGCTCTTCTGGGGCTCTTCAGTAAAGTTGCCTATTTTCTTTTTAGGGACAATAGTTGTCTGCTGGAGGATCATAGAATCCCAGGCTGGTTTGGGTTAGAAGGGACCTTAAAGCTCATTCCGTTCCAACCCCCTGCCATGGGAAGGGACACCTTCCACTAGAGCAGGTTGCTCCAAGCCCCTGTGTCCAACGTGGCCTTGAACACTGCCAAGGATGGGGCAGCCACAGCTTCTCTGGGCACCCTGTGCCAGCACCTCAGCACCCTCACAGGGAAGAGCTTCTGCCTCAGAGCTCATCTCAATCTCCCCTCTGGCAGGTTAAAGCCATTCCACCTTATCTTGTCCCTACAGGCCCTTGTTCAAAGCCCCTCTCCAGGTTTCTTGTTGGCTCCTTCAGGCACTGGAAGCTGCTCTAAGGTGTCCCCTTCAGGAGCCTTCTTTTCTCCAGGCTGACCCAGCCCAGCTCTCTCAGCCTGGCACCAGCTCCATGGCCTGCTCTGGACTGACTCGATGAGAGGCAAGCTCTTCACTGCAGTGAATGAATGGATGGTTGTAGCATTCAGAGCTCTTGCTGTTCTTGGCAGGTTCCTCCATAGGTGTCTCAACATGTGTTCTTAAAGGGGCAAACTTTCCTCCAAAGACTTGGGAAGCTTGACAGGTGAAAGCTGGTTTCATTTTCTGGTCCTACCTTTTGTAAGCATCAGGAAGGGAAAATGCCTCACTTCTGTACTGCAGTCCTCTGGAGTACAGGTTGTTTCTTAAAGAGGATAGAGAAAGATCGCCAAATAAAAACCCCTTGTAACTGTTTGGTGTTTCTGCACTCAAACCACAGAATTCCATATAAAGTTGTAAAATGTGGGTCCCTGAAGGTACCATACCCAGTTTGTAGTGTTCCAGCATGGGCTTGCTGAGTTTTCTGGGAAATGACAGAAAGTCACTGAACTGATTTTTTTTTTTTTTTTTTTTTTTTAAACTTGAGGAAATAGCTCAGGTGCCTGTGTTCTGATCTTGAGTATGTTCCTTCTCAATCTGAGTGTTGCAGCTCTTTGACAGTGAAGTGTCAAAAAACAGATGCAGAAGAAAGTGAGAAGAAACTCTTGTTCTAGTGTTGGAGCACTTGGCATTACCATTGAGTATTTACACAGGGAGGAG